ATATGTACAATTCATTGTCCGTGTGTGTTGGAGGTGGGGGTGATAAAACAAGAATTTTTAAAAAAATAGCCCCATACCGTAGCAAAGAGCTGATCCGAACAATTAGCATGAAAGTATTTATAGGAAAGACACAGAGAGGTAACGTTAAGGCTGTGGGGAAAGTGACTGGAGCTGAGCCGCCAGATCAGGACCAATAATATTGCTGATTCTTCTTTGGATTTTATCAAGGAGCTCAAGGTAAATAGCAGGGACACCGGGTCATGTGTGGCAGCAATATTCTAAACATGGATGAATGGTAAACTTATAGAGAAGTAAGATAGATTCTGGAGAGAAAAATTGTCTTGCACGATCTGCCAAGAAAGGTGAAATAATAATAAATTTTAATAGACCTTTGATTTTCTGTTCACATATACATCTCCCTTAATGAAGGTCCGCATGTTCTAAATTGGATTATTATCTGGATATATTATGATTTATCCTCCTACCATCGTAATAGAAAAAGCCAAAGTTACAGCCAGAACTTCTTAAACACTTCAACAAACAGATAACACAACAACTGAAATTATTACCTCTCTTTCTCTCTCTCTCTCTCTCTCTATATATATATATATATATATATATATATATATGCCATCGCCTATGCCAGGGTTGGCAAGACCACACCAAATTGAAAATATGTTGGCTGAGCTCCTTTTTTCGTCACAGTTAATATAAAAGGTAAATAAGAAAAAAAAAATTAAGCTTTGTAATTATTTAATGGATATGGATTGAAACCTCATTGGAATAAAACGTAATTTTAATGTTAATGCATATGTGACAAAAACGTATGTGTAAATTTTGTTCATGCCTTTTGGATCTGAAACATCTGACTTTTGTCTTATGTGGCTCTTACATCAAAGCATGTTTGACCAAACGTGGTTTATGCCTTGTTTTAATAAAACAATATATAAATTTGAAAAATATTTCTACAAGTCACGCCCTGCTTTAATATAACAATGTTCTACTATATTTTTCTTTTGAAGTATTTATTAAATCATCAACAAGTGCAGCTTACATTCTTCGGTGAATAATTCTTTATAGTCGAGGTGCTATCGGAAATTTCGCGGACTCGACGTTCTGTGATTTTACCTTTCAACGGAAATACGCACATAGTCTGCTTAGTTTGCCCATAGGCTTTGTGTGATCTTCTCTTCTTCACCTATTACGCAGTATTTCATGAGAACAACGTGCTAAAACGGTTCTGCAATCTTTACGATGGTGGACAAATTCGGGCATCTATTTTATATTTTCTGCACGTAAAATGAACTCCACGCACGTAAGAAAGGACTGAGTCTTTTTAAATCATCAAAAATAAAAATCCTCAAATAAAGCTGATACGAAACAAAATAATGCCGTCTCGTTTATTTACTAATGAGATATTCCTTTGTTAGCGTAACACGAAGCATTTTCATTAGAATCATGTATTGTCTCTTTTTAAAAACGAAATATATCATTAAGGGGAGGTCAGGCTAAGTGATCGAAAAATATATGAAATCACATTGTGTTTAAATAGGTTTGTCCGTAATACAATCTCATGTCCCAGTCAACCAGTTCAATGTTGATCATGAAATCTTATGGAATAAATCACATTCCAGGAAAATCTTGTTAAAACTTCGTTTTTTGAAACTGAAAAACTATCTCCAGAAGCAAACTAATTTCAATTTATCATTTTAACAATTTGCACCAAATCAGCAAGTCACTAAACTGTAAAATCACCACGAGGACCATTATCAAACACTTTTACAAGATGTGGCATTGGTGGCTGTTACATAAACTCTCCAGCTATTAAATCTCGAGAAGGACTTTCTCTTTTTTTTTAAAAAAAAATCATTTCACCCCAGACAAGACAAAGCTACTAAAACACAACGGGTTGCTGAGTGTGGAAGAATAAGAAAAATTTTAAGAAGCGAAAAGAATCAAGAAGACAGTAGATAACGATTGCTTTTAAATTTTTGAGGATCAAAGTTGGCTGGATACTAAGAAGCCGGAAAAGAGAGCCACAGGCGAGAAGTGCGATAAAGTTAGCTAAGAACTTACACTTATCTCTAGCCGATTCAACTGTACAATAATAAAAGCTTCGTATTCCATTAATAAGAAGCAAGTTCCATTCAAGCAGCTTCCTCCCAAGAACTGCTGCTTTGTGGAACAGACTCCCGGTAGGATGTTTTCCCAATCACTACAATCTTGACCACAAGTCTAGGGTTAACCGTTATCATTCCTGCATAGCACCAAGAACTTCATTTTTTGGCTTTTCTTATGCTCACACAGTAACCTCTACTTTGAGTGGCTCTTGGCCTTGTTTTAGGTGAAAATTAGTTTAAAAAACAAAACAATTGAGTGGGGAGCTATGTTTTATGTGGCAAGGAAAGATATTGAAACTGTGATTATTCAAACTTACCACTATACGTAAAAGGGTTTAAGCAGAATCCTTCCCTACAAATAAAAACAAAATGACATTATAGAAAGATAAAACCTCTTTTAACCTCTTCCTCGATCAATTTTGTGAATTGAATTATCTCCCTTACGAGAGACCAATTTTTATACCCAACATTTCATTTTGCGGATTTTTTTTTTTTTTTTTTTTTTGAAGTTGCAGTTTTTTCTTTTTATTAGAAGAGACATTAATTTATTTATTACATGATACATTAATTATTTATTAGTATGTCTTTCATTTTAATTTTAATTTTTTTTTTTGTTCAAAATTACTGAGACCGTCACATTGCGATAATCGGTAAGCAACGGGAGTCGGGAATAAGCTCGAGGGCTTTTGTTTTTTTAAATATTTTATTTGTGCATATAAATGCATAATTGCGAGGATGTGGGACGAACTAAATTTTAAGAAGCCCGTTGAAAGCGCGTGCATATATTTATATATTTCACAAACACGCACGTAACCAATTTTAACACAGAAAATAATACATACTGGATACACTGACTGATTGCAGGGTGGGGAACAATACTTCTCTTTATTGTGCCACTTTGTACATTTCAGAAAGGGTAACAATTCATTTTAAAGAATTTAACATGATTCTTAGTTTAGATCGATATCTCGCTTTTCTTTCGAGCTTCCGATAAACTGAAAATCGGATACCCAAAGCCCAAAACAATTACTAACCATTGTTTTTAGAAGGAATTGGGATCAGTTTTACATCCTGTTGTCAGGGGGGATCACCGTGGAATATGATGCATTTCATGTAAGAAAATGAGATTGTAAATTGTTTTGAATATTGTGGTTCGATAAATATCAATTTCTTTATTGCACTAAAAAAAGAGGGAGAGTCAGATGGATTACCTGATAACTACGGACTGACCGAAGTAACCATGTACTTTTCTGTAAAATAAATTTTGATTTATTGTAATTCTTTGTCATTTATGAATTAAATCCTATCTCACCTTTTCATTTTACTAATTATATATATATATATATATATATATATATATATATATATGAGTGAAAGGGGTGGGGTGCTTAGAAGTTATAGGTTCTATACACATTACGAAATCTGACCAAACATTTGAATTCTTGCTTGAATCGGGAAATTTTCAGTGACACTACCACTTTGTGTGTGAGCGCGCGCAAACACACACATACATACATACACACACACACACACACATATATATATATATATATATATATATATAATTGTGTGTGTTTGTTTAATTGAATAATATAGACATATTATGTGTATTTGTTTTCATACTGACCCTTTCCAGTTCTCTAATCAGTTTCTTGATGTTAAGATGAAACACAAAGGAAGGCGCCGTAGTATTTTCCTACCCAAGTACTTTCGATCTCCACCAGGATCTCCTCGTGATGAATTACAACGACAAATTTATTGTAACTGATATTATCTGCATTTTGGTGTGATGGGGATTTTTTTTAAAAAAAAAACAAAAACAAAACAAAACAAAAAACGCATGAACGCGCTCTGTTATAATTATTTTAAAATTTAGATTTATCCGTTGTAGCTATAGATTTTTTTTTTTTAAGACATGCGTCCTAATATAAGGGGGCTAACCGGAAATTGATAGAATTGCAAAATGGCATAAAATGTTACTTATACGCGCTTCAACGCGCTGCTGTTTCACTCGTAATAAAATTTGTTGAGTGTTGATTGGTTGCTTTTGATAGGGTCTCGAGAATTTGAAGTTTTTGTTTATTGTTTTCGTGGTTTAGTATATTGGTGTTGTCAACAAATATTTTTTTCTGTATTGTGATGGTAAACAGGAATGTGTTTTTAGATGTTGTGCAATAGAACGATAAATGAAGTTTAAGACGCCTTGATAATGTTGTGGTCGTCAAAACAACACACACACACACACATACATACATATATATATATATATATATATATATATATATATATATGTGTGTGTGTGTGTTAGTGTCTGTCTGATGTGTGTATACAAGGTTGCATCAATAAGTCTCTAGCTCGTTATTAGCTGAATTTGAATCTGAAATTTTCACCGTATTATCTTCATTCTATTTAAGATTCCCCTCTAAATTACGTGCATTGACAAATGTGGGGTTAGTTGAAAGATGAATATTTTCTTTTGTAAAACAAATGTATTTCCTCATTAGGCTATGGACTTAATGATTTTCTTTTGTATATGTATTTAGGGGAGGTTGTTTTCCGCTTTTTGTACATGTATATGCGTTCATGTGTAATCATGTAGGCATGTGTATGTGTTTCTTATTTGTGTGTATGACTCAAACATTTGATTGTTTACGACAGATGAAGAATCTGACAGCCGCGAGGTCGACATAAATGGCGGAAATAAACAGTTTATTGACATTTTGATTCTCTGCTACAAGACCGGAACTAACATTTTCTTGGGAACGAAAGCATTTTTTACCTCATGAGCCACAATCGAAACATTCAATATTCATTGGTGTTTCTGAAAATCAACTGAACATCGAAATTCTAGATCTCTCTCTCTCTCTCTCTCTCTTTCATTCCCTTCCCTTTTCAACAGGCATTTTGTCTTTTTTTCACATCCTATTTTATTTATTTTTCTTGTCTTTCTCTCTGTCCATTTCTGTTTCTCTTTCATTCTCTCTCTTGTTTTCTCTCCCTCTTCTCTACTCCTGTTTTTCTCTTTCCTACTCCGGTTTTTTTTCTATTTCTTTCCTGCTTCGGTTTCTTTCTCTTTCTTCTCTACTCGTGTTTTTTTTTTTCTCTCTCTCTCTACCCCTGTTTTTTTTCTCTCTCTCTCTTTTCCCTCTCTCCCTGTTTTTTTTCTCTCTCTCTTCCCTACCCCTGTTTTTCTCTCTCTTTCTCTCTCTTCCCTACTCCTGTTTCTTTCTCTCTCTCTCCTACTCGTGGTTTTTCCTCTCTCTCTCTCTCTTCCATACTCCTGTTTCTTTCTATCTCTCTCTCTCTCTTCCATACTCCTGTTTCTTTCTATCTCTCTCTCTTCCATACTCCTGTTTCTTTCTATCTCTCTCTCTCTTCCATACTCCTGTTTCTTTCTCTCTCTCTCTTCCATACTCCTGTTTCTTTCTCTCTCTCTCTCTCTTCCATACTCCTGTTTCTCTCTTTCTCGCTTCTCCACTCCTCTTTCTGTTTTTTTTTCCAATTGTTTTCGTTATTGTTTCTTTCCTCTGTTTATATTTGTCCTTCCTCTTTTCCTTCTCACACTTCTTCTCTTTGTTTTTTATTTTCTGTTATTTAAAATTTCTCTCCATTTTTCACCTGTACACTCAAAATACCCCGCTGGGAAGTTAAGTTTGGAGATAAACAGGCAATGTCTGATTTAAATTATTTATTTTTTTATTTTTTTTTTACTCTTCTTAAACCAAGGTGTAATTCTATTTTCATTAGGTTAAAGTGAACACATAACCTGAAGCGCATACACAAATATACAAACTCCATACTTTTTACATTTTCATACGCATAGTCTTTACGGACTGGTTGCTTTACCAAGGGACCAGTAACAATATCAGATGAACAAACGATTGTTAACCATTGCCCCAAGGTAAAATTTCCTAAGGAGATCAATATGGTACAAAGACAGATTAATAGTGAGGATCGATCTCTTTATTTTAGCAACAGTTTGTATTTGATCCCTGGCTCTATGAAAATATTGATCGCAAGATACGCGTCCCATTTTATCCTAAGTCCTATTTCTGTCTAGCTTCTTTATTAAATTAAATTTGTATTTGTATCCGAGACGCTTATATCATAGGAAATATTTTCACAATTTCCTTTTGATTTTGTACTTTGAATGGTTTAAAATCTTATCATTTTTAACTAGAAAATACTATTTTATTTAATTTAATAATATAATAATAATTATTATTAGTAGTAGTAGTATTTTCTTTAAAAGTGAAAAACATTTGAAAGAATTTCCGAATTTCTTAGATTGTGAAATGTTATTAGTTTTTGACTCGTATTTCTTTTATCTCAGAACTATTGCGTCGTCATTCTACGCTCCTTAAAAAAAAAAAGAAATTCAAATACGATGACAGGACTCTTTCTGAACTGTTCAGATCGTCGTGTTATGGTTTTTATAAACTGGTATCGCCCCATGTAAGGCAGTAAAACCACGAAGACACAAGGTTACTGGGTGTAGAAGAATTAGGAAAAGAAACATTAATAATGAACGGGAAGAAAAAAATAATAGGGGGGGGGCAATAGATAGCGATTGACATTGCATTTAAATGTTTACAGATTAAAATTAGCTGGAAAGCATGGATCAGGAAGGGAGTTCCACAAGCGAGAAAAAACTGTTAGCATAGAATTTATGGTTGCATCTTAAATTGATGAGGTCTCGACTCCAGTCTATTAATGTGCTTAAATTCAAAAAGTTTAGGTACCATAGCGAACAGCCGGTCCTCACAATTCCATGAAAGTATTTATGGAAAAGACACAGCGCGGCAAACTTCCGGTGGTGGAAAAAGCCACAGAAGCTGAGCTGCCGGATCAGGACTGAAAATATTGCTGATTCTTCATTGGATTTTATCAAGGAGCTCAAGGTAAATAGCAGGCACTGGACGATATGTGGCAGCAATATTCTAAGCATGGGTGAATGGTAGACTTATACATAGATATATCTAAGATAGATTCTGGAAATAAATATAGTCTCGCACGACACAGTGACCCAACTTTCTTAGCAGCTGAACAAGCAATGGACGCAATTTAAGGGAAATTATACTTTTTAAACAATTATTAATGAACACTATTTACATGAACACACACAACACACACACATTTTATATATATATATATATATATATAGTCTTAAGGTGTGCTATATTTATGGGATAAAGTGCTCAATATCAGAGATAGAGCATGTGTAAATATAAAAGTGAACATAGAAGTCAACACTTAGAGGCGACAGTCTGTTTCATGCTATATGCAATCGTCAGGCCACGTGTGCTGTTATTTTTCTCGGCTATTTTATATATATATATATATATATATATATATATATATATATATATATATATATACACGGGTCAGTGGTGCATTGTGGGTAGTCTATTATGGCGGTTATTTTACCGGAAGTCGTTTATTTATTTATTTGGGTTAAATTATTTTGCTTGTTTTTATTTATTTTTATTTTTTGTTTCTTATTTTATTTATTTATTTTAATCGGTGTTTTTATTAACGTAGCAAAAATTTGTTTATATCACTTATTTAATAGTTTTGTTTTGGTTTGAGAATTTAATTAAAGCTATTTGTTCGATTTTGGGGTTGATTGTTGTAGTTTATTCTAACTATTATTTTGGCAGGAACAGTTTTTAATTTGTGTTTATTTGGGTTGATTATATTTATTTGTTTTTTCTAACGGTAACTTTATCAGGGGTTGGTTTGTTTATTTATTTGGGGGATATTTATATATATATATATATATATATATATATATATATATATATATATATACACACACACATATATACATACATACATACACACACATATATTTTCATCAACATTGTATTAATTACTGATAACTGTCAAACAATTTATTTCTGATTTTCAATGTACCATATATACGTTGAGTGTAAAAAAGTTACTAAAAATTACTCGGGTAAAAATGTGCAAAATTCAGTGGTTTAAATTACGATATTCCCTTTTTAATGCTTATTTCCGGGTTTGTATTGCCCCGTAAACGACCTTGATTCTTGCAACAAGACCAAAGCCCACTAAGAGTTAGCAACAAGAACTACTTCTGTGAGCGTGTAAAAATATGCCATTCTGAAGTTGTATAAATTTTGGCGGAATTGAAAAGGAATCCTTTATTATGATTTACACAGAACAATTTGAATGACAATGAAATAAGATTTTTTTTTTTTTTTGGACAAGAATGGACTAATTATTTTGTTGCATGAAAAGGATCGACTTCAGGTTACAAATGCAATAAAAGAAGCAACCGCTTTCATTCTAGGGCCGTTCCTCTATTAAAACTGCTTTAAAACATTTATTATGCAACTACTAATCATTACAGCAATGAGAAACTCCGTTATCTTCAATCTAGGGCTTTCCTGGTTAAGAAAAAGAATATGGCTTCGATTCCTGTCTGGTGACACATTTTCTCTTGATCTCTAGGCCGGTAGACATTAATTTAACTGTTAAAAACAACTGGAATGTCTACTCAGACATGTGTACCCATTAAATATAACGTTTATATTTATACAAAACGATGTCGGAGAATATATATGTATATAATTTACCTTTGTGGAATAAGAGAGATATTAATCGATTCATTTTTTTACTGTATACCAACCCTTTGCAGGTTATTTAAAGCCAGAAATCTTTTTTTAGATTGCAAGGATTTTTTTTTAGATAATGATTTAGCGAGAAAAATCTTACTAATTAAACCTTACCTGGGAGAGAAGAAGTGAATTCAAACCTTTCCCAAGTGAATGAAACAAACCCAACTGGAATTGGAACTCTGCTCTCCGATTAACAATTACGAGCCATCATCCATTACACCACCCGCACATCCAAGCTTAGAGCACCTGGTATTCCCAAACGGTCACCCATCTAGGTACTGACAAGGCTCGACGTAGCTTAACTTCGGTGATGGTACGGGAACCGGTATTTTAACATGATCTGACTGTGAACAAAGAGAATGTGTGAGTGAATATATTCTCCTTTGTATTTATTCCTTGTTACTATATGATGCCACACGCCCACCGAAAAAAAAAATCAGTGTAAATAAACTTCATATACATTGTTACATCAATTTCGATAAAAATCAAAATCCAAACCCTAGAATGATTAAACGTAAATCAACTACTTTTGAGATAATTACGTTTATCTGTTAATTTAATATTTTAATCAGTTCACTTCAAGCAAGGCGATAATGCCACTAAGGCCCGAGCGGTTACTGGGAGTGAAAGAGAACAGGAAAACACTTTAGGGACCGAAAAGTCAATCCTAAACAGAAAACAAAGGATAAACCTTCTACTCTTGCTCAATAGACGGAGCTGTAGGAACTGGATGATGTGCCAACCTATCTGCTGCTCTAAATGACTGCTAAACTGTGCGAAAATATTTCCTACTTATGGTTTAAAATATTTTGAAAAAAAAAAAAAAAAAAAAAACTTTATACTGTGGGGGTCGTTCAAGCTGTCAGAAGAGATAGAACTGGGGGAGTGCGCGTTGCTATAAATGGCAGAAGTCGTTGACAGACATGACAAATTACAATAGCTGCCGAGACAAAATAAAATTTTAAAAAATCCTCTACTCAATAGTATGGATGTCAAAAAGAATATAATTGCTTTTTCCTAACACTACAAAAATCCAATCTATTTTTCTTAAAAAAAAAAAATGATGAGTAGAAGAAAGTAAAATTGATGCAGTCACTCTTGGAAACTTAGAACAAGTAGTCATGTCCCGAGAAACGAAACACACTTAAAACGAAGTTACTCCTCGCCAAAAAAGAAAGATTAGTTTGTATTAGTAGAAACGTGTTTTCTTTTAAGCATCCTCTCTTAGATCTTTAC